AAAAAATCAGATTTTAGTACAATAATATTTTCAAAATTTTTAAATTACTAAACGTATATTTAAGCAAGATAAATAAAAGCATCAAGAACTGAACATGGAGTTGAAAAATGAATTGTGACACTAAGTATGTCCTTTCAAAAAATATGGTTATGTTCAAGAAATGTAAATGTTTCACATGGCAAATGAAAAAATTCTTAATTAATTTTCAAATATACATAATACTATTTGAATATATTCTTATTATGTAAATTAGTGTGTATTTTTATTAAGCAAACATGCAATAGTATTATTATAGATTATGTTTTACAAATTATATTTTCTTTGCTTTACATTTTTCTTTCACACTTTCACCTATTAACTTATTTCACTTTGCTTTTATGTCCAAGAGGAATTTTGTTAAAATAGAAAATTATGGTCTGTTAATTGCAATGAGAATTTTGAATCTCCATATTTAGGCTTAAGATGGATTAGATTAGTCTACACCCACATTAACTGAAATTGTATTCTATTAAGAACCATTTTCATTATTTGCTTACGCATTGATACTAGAGATGGGTTTCATGCGTGCGCATGATTCCTCAATCGTGCGCATTAATGCGCATGATTCGGAATTATACGCATTTTATCCCATCTAAATTTTATATAGGAAAATTAAAGTATATTTACAGCTGTTTTCAAAAAGATGTGGAAAACGATTTCCATATGCCCATATGGGAAATCGAAGAATGTGGAAATTCTGCTTAGTAAAAATTAAAAATCCGATTGGAGCGTGTCTTGAAAACTCTGGAAATCTGGGAAATATCGTGAATTCTCTGTGGTATAGTAATCTGCACCTTTCCACGTCCTTTTGAAAACAGCTATAATTTTGGCCAAGGTGTATAATGCCAGGCAAAATTAAGAAATAGGAAAGCAGAAGTTTTGAAAAATTCTGAAAAGAAAATGAATGAATATAAAGATAAGAAGGGTTGGGAAAAAATTTGCCAAATATCCGATATTTTCCGGAGGGGAAATATAAAATCAAAAAAATTATATCATGCGATATCATGCGCATTTTATATAAGGCGAGCCAATTTAATTCGGTGGTTTACATTACATTCCTTTCTCAAAAAAGAGAGAGGGGGGTAACGTATACCACTGAATTAAATTGATCTAGCCTAACGTGCGGATTAATACGCATTCATGCGCATGTTATAATAAAATGCGCATTATTCCCATCTCTAATTGATACAGTAAAAAATATCTGGCTCTCGAGAATTCAATATATTCCCTAATCTTTTAATATAATTCTATTGATTACACAACTTTAACCAAGGTCAAGTGCAATAATTTTATGAAATCATTTTAAATTTTGGATTGTGCCTATTTTGAATCTATTCATGAACCTAAATTATTCTATTTTTGTTTTTTTTTGATTTCATTACATCTTTATTTATAATTTGATTGTGGTATGTCTCAATATAGCCTGTACGAATTTAAACTAAAATTAAAATTTACCTTTAATATCAATATTTGGCTGTATTAGATTTTTTGTTATTCCAATTTTGCTTCAATAATATTATTCTACACTTGACAATCCACCAGCAATAACCATTTCTACAGATTTTTGATAATAAATGTATATGCCTCATACTCATCCTTTTCAACCCAATTCATAAAGATAACAATTTCCAATTTCTCTCATTCCATTAGTATTTCCCATATTTGAGTATTTGATAAGAAATGAATGCCTTATGATCATCTTTCTCAACTACAATTTGATGATGATAACAATATCCAATCTGATAAACTCCATCAGTATCTCCCATCTCTGCAGATTTTTGAAAATAGATAAATGCTTTATATTCATCCTTTTCAACTCCAGTTCAATCTAAATGACAATATCCAACATTATATACAGCACTAGCGTACCCATTTCTGCAGATTTTTGATAATAAATGATGCCTTATATTTGTCTTTTTCAACTCCAGATCAATCATCATAACAGCGTCCAACATTATACACCATTACAGAGTATCCCATCTCAACAAATTCTTGATAATAAATTAACGAAATAAATGCCTTATGGTCCTTTTCAATTCCGATTCCTTTGAAATAACGATATCCAACACTATTTATTCCAATAACACTGTTCATATATGCAGATTTTTGATAATAAATAAATGCCTTATGTTCATCTTTTTAATCCATTTACCAAATTGTCAAACTGATAACAATTTGCAAGAATAATTTAAATCGTAGGATTGATTTGATTATCTAAGCAAAAATTGATGATATTAAATGGATTTTGCCTCTTTTTATCAAAACTTGTTCTAATGTATCAAGAACTGAACGGGGATTTATGCCTTTCAATTTTCTTCATTATACAGATTACATATTTCATTAATAATTTTATTAAAAATATCCTGTGAAAAATCTTGCGAATTGTTATCTTCTAAATACAATTGAGAAAGATCGTTGGTTATTTGGATAATATCTGATGAATTGCGATTTTTTTGATTGCTTTTCTAATAGGTTATTATAAATTGACATTTTGATGTAAGAAAGGATTTACATATGGAAGCATCAAATTTACCGAAAGGCATTGCACGCACGTGATATAATTATTATTTGGAATACAATTGGCTAATAACTCCATACATTAACTTTATTGAATGATCTTTATTGAGAATGTGCAACATACATCAGTGCAACTGATGTATAAACCAGTATTTCAGCCGAAACTTCCGAAACATAGTTTCGCCAGAAGTCCCAAATCCAAACCTCTGAAACTGGGCGAAACCTCCGAAATTGGCAAAACTTTCGAAATGGACGAAATTTCCAAAACTTCCGAAAAAATAGCAATAAAATACGAAAAATTTTCAGATTATGTGAAAAAGGCATGCATCAGAAGCTAGGTGAATTTTTGAAAACAAGACAAAAGTTCCGAATTTGGGCGAAACTTCCGCAATTGGATGAATTTTCCAAAATTTTCCGAGTAGAAAATCAATGAACGTAAAATACGAGCAATGTGGAGAATAAAAATAGTGAATAGATCAGAAACATTCTGAAAGAAATAGAGATGGAGGTTTTGGAAAGTTTGATTTAGAGGGTTTCACCCAATTTCTGAAGTTTCGGCTATTTCGGAGGTTTCTGATTTTGGGCGAAACCGAAACTCATGGCCGAAACATTTCGGACCTTGAGGCGAGGTTTCGCCCTAAACATTGGCATAAACTGAGACGTGCAACACTCCCAGAAATGCAAATATAGTTGCGCCGAGAATTGCCATCTGGTTTGAAATCGCGATGCGTAGCATCAGCCACATTGCATAAAGCAGGCCAACCTCTATCATTATTATTCGGATGCATCTAGATAGCGAGCGCCAGATATTTATAAGTTATTGACTTTATTGAGTGTAAGCAGCATGCATCAGTGCAATTGATATATAACCGAGACGGGATATGATCTCGAAAATAGCATAATTGCAGCCGGTGTTACCATCCGAATTTGGGAGAGCGTCAGATAGGTCAGTGCCAAGATAGATCAGCACGAATGTACAATATAGCGGGTTGGGTGGTGAATGTGAAATATGTCGGGACAGGATGTAAATGTATAAAATAGAAATAAAATACAAAATAGTACTAAACTACAAATAAACTAAGAACAAACAATTCTGAACTAAAACTGCACAAAGCATAATAATGTGATACGTTTATTATAATCTAATGAGGACAGATTGTCTATTCAAGACAGAAAACCAAGAGACAGAAAAGCCTGAGGCACAAAACCTGCCTTTACAAGAGGGCGAACCATGGGTTTATATACATGTTAGCTAGCTAGAAAATCCTACGATACAATACTTGTCTATTACATCGTTTCACATTACTAATATCTATTTACAGCTAACACCAAACATACTTTCCAACGCGTCAAGGCCCGAATCAAGAGTTACAAATCTCGGAGCCCAAGGTCCGATTTTACCAACAAGAAATACCGAATGGCCTAATTCGTAAATCAGATTTAAGATACAAGAAATGGGAATATCAAAATAATATTATAGAGAAACAAATAAGGAAGGGGCAGATTACAAATATAGAAATGAGGTATATGTATAGACGAACAATTAAGGGAAAAGGGATAACTACAAATATAACTAAATATAGTAACACGTAGAGTAAGTATAAGGAAATTAATAAGGAAGGGCGAGTAACAAAAATAGAATTAAGGTGGGACAATGGCAAGACAATCGGAAGCAAGATCATCCGATACTTAAGGAATAACGATAATAATAATAATAATACAGGGGCGAAAATAAGGAATAACGAATTTTTGGGGCGCAGAAATGTTACGATAGTAACACCGGGTATCGCCGTCATCAGTTAAATGCATGACAAGTAAGTTTATTTCACTGACAATTATTTTACTGACAGCTCATTTCACCGACAAAGTAATTCTGGTCATTGTTGTTAGTGTAAAGTTAGAATTATAAGATATTGGATATTTTTTTCATCGGAGTTAATGTCACTTCCATGTGCTGCTTCGCAGCACATGAGTAATATTAACTCACAATTAAAAATATTTCCTGTTATTTTCGTATGACCAATATCGATATTATTGTTTGCATTATATGGCCGTGTGATGTTTTTTACGTGATGTTTTGACAAATGATGTCATTTCGTGACAAAAATATCAAGGCAAAAAAATTCACTGATCATATAAAATGAACAATAATTAGAGTTAAGGTTAGTATAATTTATAAAAAAAACTTATCAGTGAAATGAGCTTCAGTAAAATAATTGTCGGTGAAATGAACTTGTCAGTAAGTTAATTGTCAGTGAAATGAACTTATCTTTGAATTAATTGTCGGTGAGGTAAGCTGTCGGTGAAATAACACGTACCCATTTTATTTACATTAATTTTACTCAATTAAGTATTCATTCATATAAATTAATTTGCGAATATTCTAATTCGTTAAATTCGTGAATTCTTGTAATGCGAAACTTTTTCTAACTGAAACGCAAGAAATGTGTTGTAAATCTGGAAAAATAAAGTAAATTACTATTAAAACTTACTAAAATAGTTACTACTAAAACTTAATAAAATATTAAAAAATTATAATTATTCATTGTACTAAAATACTATATAATCTGTCGGTTACAGGTTAGCATCAGGTGACGCCCCAGCTTTGAGAAATCTATTCATAAGAAACGATAACATAGGAAAAGACTTCCGTGAAAATATCAGAGCTTACAACAGTATTTTTGCTTTCACTTCTATGGGTATAAAATTTGATGAAGATCTTGCAAATGGTAAGAAACTATAATAAAAATTACACTTGATTAATAACATATAAATAAAAACTAAATTTATTATAGGTAAAGACGGTGTCTACACATTCCGTGTCCAAGGTGAAATTTATCATTCAATAGGGTCACTTCTCCAGGTTGACGGAATACCTAGATTTCTTCAAATGTACATATACGATACTGAATTTGAAACGATGAATAGACTTTCAAAAATGCCTAAACTTCGTCCAGAAACTTTAGAATATATAAAAGCATTAATGGACCAATTAAACCCTTTCATAACCAATTTTCGTTCAATTTCGTTGAACAATAACATAAGTAATCTATACTTACTTATCAGAGCCGATCATAAGCTAGACCAACGAGTATATAATAGACCAACAGCTTCGCAAGTAGCTGCAATATGGGTGGAAGGTCAAACCCCTATAGAATATATGAAACGTGATATAATTGTGCATTCATTATCGCAGGGTTTACAAAGAGTCTCTGAGTTAAGTGGATCATATGATCCAATGCAATATCTGCTTTTATTTCCTAAAGGCGACTATGGTTGGCATCCTGATATACTACAAGACACGTCTCAAAAAAAAGTCACTGCCAGACAATATTATGCGTATAAACTGCATTTTAGAGAACCATCTTCGACATTGATTTTTTTGGGGGGCCGACTTTTACAACAATACGTAGTAGATAATTACGTAAAAATAGAATCTGCGCGCCTAAACTACTTACGTTTTTCTCAGAATAAAATTCGCAAAGAACTTTATTAAGGTCTACAAGATTCACTACAAGCTGGACTATCAAATGCATCGGACGTAGGGCGACATGTTGTTTTGCCATCATCATTCATGGGTGGACCCTGTGATATGTACCAACGTTACCAAGATGCGATGGCATTAGTACAGACCTATGGAAAACCAGACATATTTATTACTATCACATGTAACCCTCGGTGGCCCGAAATTATAAAAGAACTTATGCCATTACAAACTCTACAAGACAGACCAGATCTTGCAGATAAAATACATAATTTAGTTATATTTGTTTAATATAAGTTTAATATTAGTTTAATTAGATATATATACCTATAATAATAATAATAATAATTATAAAAAAAAAAAAAAAAAAAATCATATTTAATTAAAACAATCAATCAATACCTATAACCGAATCTACATAATAATAATAATTATTAAAAAAAGAAAAAAGCATATTTAATTCGAAACAACGAATACTTATAACCTAATCTACACTTTTATAATTATAGCACGAATCTTTAGAATGAAATTAGAAGAACTAAAAAAAGACCTTTATGAAAAAAACGTTCTTGGTAAAGTTATCGCGCATATGCACGTGATAGAATTTCAGAAACGCGGTCTCCCGCATGCGCATTTGCTATTAATATTAAATTCTGAAGACAAGCTGCACGGGGCTGACGATTATGACGCCATAATATCAGCTGAAATACCAAATCAAATAGAACAACCAAGGTTATACCAAACGGTTATTTCTTTTATGATCCATGGCCCGTGTGGTCGCTTAAACAATAAAGCTCCGTGTATGAAAAAGAACAAGTGTAGCAAACGTTACCCTAAAGAATTTATTGAAGAAACTCGAGAAGGTGATGATTCATATCCATTATACCGCAGATCGACAATGGACGATATGTGTTAATTAGAAATAATAAAATAGATAACCGCTGGATTATCCCATATAACCCTTACCTATCATTTAAATATAATTGTCACATCAACGTTGAAGTATGTTCCAGTATCAAATCCGTTAAATACTTATATAAGTATATATATAAAGGACATGACCGTGCATCGATACAAGTAACTAATGATGATGAAATAAGTCAATATTTAAATACCCGGTGGATTTCAGCTCCAGAAGCATGTTGGAGAATCTTTAGCTTTGATATGTCACATATATACCCTTCGGTATTTCGTCTACAAATTCACCTTCCTGATAATCAAACAGTTATATTTAAAGAAAACTCCAACTTAAACAATATTCTAGCAGACGGCCAAAATAAAAAAACAATGCTAACAGAATATTTTGAAATGAATAAAAATAATCCAGATGCCCGTAACTATACATATCGTGAATTCCCGAAATATTATGTATGGAATAATACTACTAAAAGATGGACAATGCGATGTCAGGGCCAAGGAATATATGCGGTTAGTCCGCACGAAGGTGAACGTTATTACTTACGTTTACTTCTTAATAACGTTAAAGGAGCAACATCATTTGACGATCTAAAGATAGTGAATAATTATCGGTGCTCAACATTTAAAGACAGTGCATTAAAAAGAAAACTCATTGAACCAGACCAAATATATCATCAAACTATGTATGAAGCAGCCCAATATAGAATGCCCTATGCCTTACGTCAACTATTCACGATAATATTATTATTTGGCGAACCAAATGACATTAGATCTTTATGGAATGTTAGCTTTGACGCTATGTCAGAAGATTTTACAAAACGTGGAATTCCTAATGGACACCCAAAAATTAATGCAGTCCTTCAACATATAAAATATCTTTTAGAACAACATCACAAAACTTTAAATGACTACGACCTACCATCATTAACATTACCCGAAAATTTTCCAAAAGAACTACCAAGATTAATAACTAACGAACTAAATATTCCAATATCGGCTGAAGATTTAACAAAAGTGGAACTATTAAACGAAGATCAAAAATTAATATTTAATGAGATAATCGAACACATAGAAAAAAATAAACCTGGTGTAATATTCGTCGATGGACCTGCAAGTATAAAAATACTTAACATTAACGTAATAAATACTAAAAAAAAAAAAAAACTTTCAAAACTACATTAAATATACGCTACAAATAATAACCTATTTATACAAAATTTAAATACCAACATAATTATAAAAACTTCTAACTAATCCAAAACTTAATCTCAGGTTCAGGGAAAACATTCTTATATATTTGCTTACTCGCTAAAATACGTTCGACCTATTCGATTGCACTAGCGACAGCTTCCTCCGGTATTGCAGCACTACTGATGCCCGGGGGACAGACAGCACATTCAAGGTTCAGAATCCCCTTAGACATTAATTCTACTTCGACTTGCAATATTAGCAAGCAAAGTCACTTAGCAAAACTACTAAGACTAGCGAAACTAATAATTTGGGACGAAATTTCAATGATAAACCGTTATTCAATAGAAGCATTAGACAGAACTTTACAAGACATAATGAAATGCAACCTTCCTTTCGGTGGAAAAATCTTCGTATTTGGTGGAGACTTCTGTCAGATCTTGCCAGTTATTCCACGAGGAGGCCATGCGCAAATCGTAAATGCTACATTCAAATCATCCCCATTATGGTCCTCAGTAAAAATCTTTCACCTCCACCAAAATATGCGAGTAGAAAATGACTCAGAAGCCGATAAATTCAGAACCTTTCTAATGAGAATCAGAAATGGGACAGAAAAAACTATTAATAAAGACATGATACGTGTCCCTGACGATATATGTATTAACTGGAACAATGAACATTCCTTAAAAACCCTCATCGACCAAATATATCCACAACTCTCACTTAATTCTCCGAGCAATTTATACTTTACTGACAAAGCCATCCTAACCACTAAAAACGAATACGTCAATCAAATCAACGACACCCTCTTAGACCAACTACCAGGAGAAAGTATAACGTACCGAAGTTTTGACTCAGTACCAGACGACACTCATAATCTTTATCAACAAGAGTTCTTAAATTCAATAAATACAACCGAAATCCCTCCTCACGAACTAAAACTTAAAATCAAACACTCCTATCATATGTCTACGTAACTTGGACCCTACCAATGGTTTATGCAATGGAACTAAACTAACATGTCAAGCTTTTAGTCCTAACGTAATCGAAGCAAAAATAATTACGGGTAATCACCGAGGAGAACAAATTTTCCTTCCACGAATACCATTCATGACTTCAACCACCAAATTCCCTTTTATATTAAAAAGGACCCAATTTCCAATAAGACTAGCCTTCGCCATGACGATAAATAAATCACAAGGACAAACGATTTCAAGAGTAGGACTTTACTTACCGGAACACGTATTCGCACACGGTCAACTTTACGTTGCGTTCTCACGAGTCCGAACTTACAAAAATATAAAAGTACTAATAAAAAATAGCAATATTCCAGGAAAACAAGGCACATATACACGTAACGTAGTATATAAAGAAATCCTACGTAACTAACACCATACCAACCTTATATATCTCTACAACCGTTAAATACCTCAAAAACACCACGATCAAACAACAATTAAAAGATCCTTTACTTTCTCAAACTATAAAAATTAAAGAAAAAACAAACAAAAAAAAAAACTATCTTAACTAACTATAATAACATTTATAATATAACCTTATAACCTAAATTTCGCAAAATACTACACTAAAATATACTTTAAATTTTGCCAAAATTAAACTTAATTCACGCAATAATCTAAATAACACTTAGTACTATTATTCAACCAAAATATGAACCAAAAAAACTATAAGAATTTTTTAAATTCATTTATTAAAATAAATATAAATATAAACATTAAAACATATTATACTAAATAAATATCAGCGTAAGGACCTAATCTAATTAATAAATACAACTACCACATCATGTTAAAAAAAAAAATAATAATAAAACTATCAACTAATTCACACTACAACTATTAACTCATAATAACTTACACTCGAAACCAATAACGAAAATGAAATCATATGACTTATAACACTTACATCATTAATCATATTAACATACAATAATCGTAAATTGGTTACGTAATAAAATACTTGCATAAAACAGATCATATGACACAATAACATATTTCGACCTAAAATTCTTGAAATTTCATACTCACAAATAATTACAATACTCGAAAAATTTATTTAACAAAAATCAACACAACTCGAAAAATAAAACATAAAAAAAAATAAAATACTAAAAAATAATAACTAAAATAAAAAAAAAATAAACTAAAACAAAATAAAAACTATTTAAAAATATAATAACTACTCCTTATTACGAACATCAGAACGAGATCTCAAATTAAAACGCAAAGACCCATCAGCCCGTTCTTTACCCTTACCACGTGAACCTCCCTTATAACATACACTATCTTTTACAACATTTTCAACTTCAAAATAATTACTATTATCGACATTACAACTACTATCCTTAAAGCAATCATCTCCAACAGACTCATCAAAATCTCAACTCGAGTATGCCTCGACAAATAAGGACTACCGGATGAACTCGGCACGAACTCTCCCAAAGAATCGTCTAATGTCACAGTTTCATTTCTTACCCCTCCCTTTGAATTTTCTGCAAAATTCTGAAACATTCCACTTTCTTCCTCACAAAATTCTTCATCAAATTCATTAGCATCTTCAACCCTCACACGCTTAAAAGAATAACTATTGCCCGAAAATTTCGAATCGACTCTACTCTTATCATCACTCGAAACTGCTAAAGTCGTCCTACTATTCTCAGACTTATCTTTCAAGCATTCAATAAAATTATCATGAGAAGCCAACAACTTAGAACGAACGGTATTTTTAGTCGAAGGAGAAACACAAGAAACGCCATTTCCAAAAACATTCTTCTTACTAACAGACTGGGTATCGATACAGTAAATATCCCTAGCATACACATAAAACTCATTCATTATAATTTCCAGTTGTCCAACAACAAAAATAAACGACTCCTTAGGCCAAATATTATCTTTAACGTAAGCAAACCGAGAATTATTACAAGGAAAAACAACCTTCATATTAAAAGTAACCTCCTGACCAACATAATCGGTTATTGAAATCTGAAAAATAGCATCATCTTTAACTTGATTAGGCAACTCCCGAGGAATGCCTACTAAAGATACCTTCAAAGGACATTTATTAGAATCAGCAACTTTATTAAGAACCGTAACATGAGTAGATGTCGAAACAGTCATCTAAAATTAAAGGGAAAATTAATATATATATATACAATTATATCAATTACACGATAAATACCTTCGCCCTTTTATTTCCTTCGTAATACCCAGGAATAATTTTACCCCGACCGAAAAAAAATTATCCTTCGCAAAAACCGCTTGAGACTCAGGATCTCTATCATCCAAATTAAGAGGTAAAAACGAAGTCATCTCAATATTATAATCTTCCCGTTCCACAGGATAAGCACCAAGAGCCCAAACAACTAACAAATTAGTATCCTCTTTGGCATTTTGCCTAACAAATTTAACCCGAACAATCGTATCAGCATAACACGGCATAATATATATATATAACTTAATAATATTATTAAACCATAAAAACAACCTATTGCACCAAAAATATAAACATATATATAACACGAATCATAAACACTAGCTAATTTCACACTATCGATACAATTACATATAAATTACAAAATCACGCAAATAACAAAAAACATTAAACAATAACAACGTCATCCTAAACAACAAAATACACGATAATCGACCAACATACTAACTATAAACGATAATTAAATACGTAATAAAAATTTCTACTGTACCCGAACTTCATAAACAAACGTTAGTAAAATTAAATGTTTAAATCAACTTCTTTTTTGTTAACTCTTCGCAGTTTTCTTTTTTTAAAAAAGTACTATAAACAATATAATTAATTCAATTTAAACTACCAATTATACAAAAGTCTAACTATGAACCCAACATTACATAACAAAAAAAAATTCACACACAATTGAATAACAATACTAAAATAAATAAAATTACAACACGAACAAACTCAATATATACTAACCAATAACAAAAAACTCATAATAAGCCCCAAAACATTAATCAAACCATATACAACGACAATAACATAATTTCGATCGAATCAATAAATTACGCATTAGATGTGGCTGACTGCGCCACTAACCTGGCACACATTCAAGACGTGCTTAAAGTCACAAAAGTTGCATACGCATGACAATTTTGTGGCGCAAACAAATCAGATTGCAAAAATTTTTAGTGATTATTAAAATTAGAATCACCAACATCACAAATTCCGCCCATATGTGGGTTGTTTTTTGGTTACTTTACTCATGAGCAGCATATAAAAACTGATAAGAAACTGATAAGTAACTCATAAGCAATTCATAAGCAATTCATAAGTAATTTTACAATCACTGGCTAATAATCACTTTTAATCTTAGTAATCACATTATATCATATATATTATTCTATGCAATCTCATCATTCAATTTATCTAATCACAAAATTGAAGATTTTCGCCCATATGATTAGGAAATTCATTCGATTTGTCAAAATTCTCGTTTTCAAAAAGCAGCATAAGAATCCACCTTTAGTGATTTAACAAAGTTTTACTTGAACGATTTTACTATTAGGCCCCCTCTAACACCTAATTTTAGCATAGACCTGACCAAGCCTAAATGAACTTTAAAGAATTTTCAATTGTTACAACATAACTTCATCTTTTTACGACATGAAATAATTTTCGTTTTGGTGCCTCATTAGGTAAAATCATTTGTCTACTTACCTATTATTTGATCAAGAAATTTTTCTCCGGTATTTTTATAAATATAAATCTAAAAATTTGTTAAGGTCATAAAACCTTAATTAACATCCAGGTTTGCACACAATAAATGATAATTCGAGAAGAAAAAAAAAAGCAAGCATGGAAAAACGATTGAAATCTTGTTAGGAAACTATTATATTCAATCATTTATTATTGGATTAATTTTGCCAGTATTTATTTTCAAACTATTGAGGCGGACTAAACTAGTAAGTTTTATTTCCACATTAATATTTGTTCATAGTTATGCTATTACAGGAATATAAATGTTAACTTTCTTAGAATGAACCGTCCTATATAATAACAATAATAATACTGTAATTAATACTTTTATGATCGTGGATTTTCTTTTAAAACTTGATATTTTCACATATATATTTAAAATGTCTTATATTTTGACAATTACATAAAAGTATTTTAGTAACACTAAATAAAAGAATATCATAATATTTAAGAATTTTTAAAAAAAATTTAAGTGTCAATTTTGTATTTCTTTATTAATTTATTACGGTAGTATCATATAATAACAATATCAAAAAAAAAAAGGGTCCCATTCGTCTCTGGATACCTCCTATTTCATTCTCTACTTTCAAAATTTTAAAACAGAAATAGGACATTTTGACCCGCTTATTTTTGAAATAATTTAATTATGAATCACCCTAATATCAATATTGCAGCAAACATTTGAATTTGCAAAAATTAGTATACACGTCACTCTCGATATAACGTAATACCTCGGGCACATAACAGTATTCACAAAAAACAGAACCTCCATGATTAAGATTCAGGTACTATATATACAATTTTAATATTATCCCAAATTAGGATATTGTTCTTCACAGTACCCACCTAAATTTGATTCAGATCAACTTTATAATCTAATACGTGCGAAAAAACTTAATTATTAATTTCTTGTATAGATATTAGTAAAATCAAAATA